CGATTCGCTAATCGAACGGAATTGCAGAGGAAGGAGATGAAGATCGATCGAAATTTGTGTCGAGGATTTTGGATTTCACAGAGATTGAATCGGATTCGAGTTTTTTTTTTTTTGTTGTAAAGTAAAATCTGAATTTGGAAGAGAGTGGAGTGCGTGTAAGGTAGAAGAACATGACAAAGGAGAATGAGAAATATTCCAAATTAAGCCACGTGGCTTTATTAATCACTTTATCTTATGGTGAATTGGTTTCTTGGTGATTATCAAAGTGGTAGGTAAACTATATATATTGATCACTTTCGATTCTTAATTAGACAAAAATTCTCTTATTAGACAAAAAATTCTTTAATTATTGGGACAATTTATGAAAAAATTAATGAAAAAGTTCAACAGAAACACACATTAATAATAGTTTCGTACATGTTAAGCCAAGGGTAAAAAATAATACAAAGCTTTAAAGCTTAGGTTTGGATATATTGGAGTGAAACATAACTTGCATCCTAGTGAACCATAGATACGGTAATCTTGTAATTTCCATCTCCAAAAATATATCTAAGAGGATCCATATTTTTGATTTTAGGCTTGTGACTTAGGAAAGAGCTTCTTTGCGAATTCAGCGAGCTTTGTAATCTCGGGCATGAGAGGCTTCACTGCAGGATCATTGTAGAACTTCTCTGCCCATTTGGCCAGAGAAGGAGTCTTGGTTTCATCAACAAGATTATGATTGGTGTCCAACTCGATGACTCTCAACCAACCCAAGAAGCTCCCGAGGGCAATGTCGAGGTAACCGATNTGGTCACCGTTAAAGTACGGTTTTCCTTTGCTACAATCGATTAACGCTTTCTCTAGAATCTCATTCCCTTCTTCGACTTGAGCTATAGCTGCTTTCTTCTCTTGTTCTCCTTGTGCCGTTAGGATACTTCTCAGAGTGATAAACCACTTCCATTCGAACATAGAAAATCTAAGATTAGTTTATGTCGTAGATATAGCAAGGAAGATAGATACAAAAGAGAACATGTAAAATTCAATCCAGCACTAAGTTTCTTGAATTCTTAACACATTATTAAGCT